AACTGTACGAACTTTTCCAAGAATGTTGCACAAAAGGAAATACTTCTAGAAAATGAGACCTCAGTGTTCATCTGGTAAACGCATCTGGACAAGGCGCACTAATATATCTACAAATGTCATATACCTGTGAATATACAAAGAATTTTTTTAGTATTGAAGAATAAAACGGATAAAGTGCACATAATTTTAATCCACGCTGTAGCATTTACTTTTGTTTTTAAAAGTTTTCCATTATGTGTAAAACTGATTGTTATCTGTTTTCATGCTCAACCAGCTATTTTTGCTGTATTAAAATAGCCCTCGATCAATGTTAATGCAAATGCACACAAAATATGCACTAATTTGACTTCTTTCTTCCAAAAGTGGAGCCACATACAGGTTTTCATAAAATAGAGTTGTACTTCACACCACTGGAGAACTCTGCTTTTTCTCATATTCAAATACATGAATCTGGCTCTATTTGCATGTCTCTTAAACTATACATAAATTACAGAGATTTAAACTACACTTGAATAAAAAGTGTTAATTAATTCCATGCACTTAAGTACTTGAAAATGTGAATGTTTTTCATATCAGTTAAATTTTCAACCCGTAGTGACATCTGGCCATCAAACGCTATTGAGTTTTTTGTTCACTTTTTTTTGCTAGATGTTATTGCAAGGGTACTGCTTGTTTTTAAGTATTATATAAAAATTTTTAAAGAAAAGCAGTTGGTGTTTTGTATTACAGAGCCAAGAAGTGATGACTGGAACTAACACATGAAATCCATGCAAAATACAGTATATCTTAGAAGAACTGCATGTTACTTTACATGCATTATACATTGAAACAAACACAGATTTTTAATTTTTCAGTCTTTGACATTTGTACATGTACTGAATACAGAACACTAACACAAGCTCTGCAAGCTAGAAGCTGTTCTTTTCTCTGCTTTTATCCTTTTTCAAAATACCACGAATATCATTAGGTTCAATGTGTCACATCATACTGTGAAGTAACCACGAAGATAACAATGTCCAAAATAATGCATTCACAAAATTATTTTATAAAGAGATCCTCCTCTTTCCCTACAATGTGGGATTTAAAGTAAAATTTATTTCATGTAATATTAAATATATAAAGCGTAATGTTTATCTCTTGGAGATAGTGACTTTTTTTGGAAAATGAAGATACAAGAGATTATGAAAATAATAAAATTAAGGTTTAAAGAAAGAGGTGCATGCACACAAAGTAAAAGGGAATATAAAAGACTGCAACTCAAAATATGTCAAAAAATGCCCTACCTGGCTAAAAATTAAACGCTTTTAAAAATAAACTTTTTTCAGTGTTTAAATTTAGAAAAATACTTTTGAGGAATTTGTAAATAATCACAGATCCAATTAATTTCATCATATAAAATATTGAAAGGATATTAAGATTGCAGATGGGAACACTCAACAACAAAATTTAAGTTTGCTCCTTAAATATAATGATTTTTTACACATAATTTCAGGAAGTTTGGGCATATTATTGTAATCTATTACAGCACAGGAGTTTGTTACCTACTTAGACATATGAAAATTACTAAGAAATTCTGCATTTTTTCATACAAGATAAAAATTTTAGGCAATTATGAATGTTTACATTATTTCATATCATGTTTAGTACACAATTCTGACTGAAAACAGTGTGGTTTAATGACTCGCTTAGAAGCAGCAATTAAGTGTCAGCTTCATTTGAAACTAAAAAGATTTCTTTCTTCAAAATTAGTTAGGTGGGTGATACAATCAGCTGTGAAGGTAGTACAGCTGAACATACAGGTAAGCAAATTCCTTCATTTTTCAGGTGTTTGCACATCATGAACAGTATGTTGGCTAAGTGCCATTTAATTTATTTTTTTTTGGCTATGAATCCTAAATCTGATTTATGCACAGCAGTGCACAATGGGTCCACATGAATTTTGGAAATATATTTTAGGCTTTATTAGTTGAAGAAGATCACTGCTGTAATCTTTAGTATGTCAAACATCTATCCACAACCAGGCAGGGCAAACAATAAATAACTTATTTACCTCTTTTAATGAGACTTCTGTATCTTTTTAAGGCAAAAGTGGTACAAATCAGAAAATCTAATGTATAGAATGCCAACTTGGCTATTAACCTGCTGCAATATCTTAGTACAGCCTCAGAAGATGGACAGAACAGAGCTCCTTTCCAGAGCGTGCAAGAAAGGAGAACCTCTTACGTTAGCATGAAGTGTTACAGGGATGCTACCCCTCCTCTGGTCTTTCATCCACTCTGCAGAGAAAACTATGAAAAGGAAAGACTTCTACATTTCTCCACTAACACACAGTTTTAAGATGAACTGAGCAGCTCCCACTACTTGATCTGTTTGGATACATCCCAAGTGTTGAAACTGCATTGTACATTTTATACTTCTGGAGATGCTTGTGAAGCAGCACAGCAATGTAGGACTTTGGCAGTACACATGCAACAAAATGTTAGGGACTTTATTAAAAAAATATGTGAGTAACAGTTTCCAACTCTCGCAATTCATGAGAAATATTGTTTTAAGGAATTTTAAGGGAAATGCAAGAATTTGCTTAGTTACAAATACAAATCTTGCTTTAGTTCGAGAGGAGTTTGAGTGATCATTCCTGTTGCGTATTTTGTTTTGTAAAGCATATTTTTAAATTCACACAACAGGGTGAAATTCAGTGATATTATGTTTATGAGTGGAAAATTCAGTCCTAGCCAGAGAAATCATTTTCTTTTTTTCTCCTCTTCTTTACTTCATGTACACTGAAATTAACCTTTCTGGTAAAAAAAAGATGTGAAAAAACTTATTAGGACAGGAACTTTTGCTTTGCTTTCCACCAGAAGTAATAATCCCTCCCAACAAGCTCAGAACTTGGAAGCAGATACTCAATTGTAAGGAATCTTAGCACCCATTCCCTGATTTTCTGCTCAAATCATCCATTATTGTGGCATGACACCTTCCCAACCAACTACTCAGCTGCTCAAAGGTTGGACACAGTTCACAACACACATTTACACTGCTTTTATATTCACAACTTTCTTGTCACCACTGGGTATGACAAAGTCACACACTAGAGACATGGACCAACAAAAGCTTGTTTTAAGCAGGAAATTGAGCCTTGGGGTATGAACTGCTTCTTAAGATTTCTCTGAAAAGTTAGGTGAAAATGTTACTGATACTTTCCAGGAAAGAGATGGGATCTTTCTGAGTAGTTGTTACTACATCCCCATCCCCCACTCCTCATCCTTAAAATTTCAAACAGATGTAGCTCCTAGGTTTAAAATTATATACAATTAAGAAATAAAAGCCTTCTCCAGATAAAACAATAAACTCAGCTTGTTAAATATATATAATTATAGATTTTCATGGTAATTTTTATTCAAAGTAATAAAATCACAATTTTTTTCTTTTAAAAACCATTTTCAAAATTGTAGAATTTCCTAACATGTTATAAATTCAGCTGAAGTCTAATATGCTTTAATAATTTGAGTGATTGAGGTGATGAGGATCTCAAAACTCAAAAGAACTTCTTTCTAGGCTGTTTCTGAACCTCATTCCTAAACCAGGAAATAGTTTCCTGCATAGATAAACCCTTCTTCTCCAATTGAGATTTTTTTTTTCCCATATAATTTGTTTTCCTAGCAATATCATCAAATGATCTCTTCATATGAACAAATGGACACAAACGCCACACATGCAATAGCATGTCTTCAATATTATTTTACTGATTCCAAGATTCCAGTACTGACACATACATATTTTTATGTGCACTAACCCTCCACAGCTGACGTTCCACCACTCTGTACTACTTTTTTTTATGGCAAGTTTGTGGAGAAAAAGGAATCTGAAAGAGAATCTGGCCAACACTACTCAGCATCTTCAAGGTCCAGGACAACGGTGCAGGACTCTCTCACCAATCCTACACATGATACAAAACCTGGGGTAATGATGGTTTTTTGGAGAGCAGGGCTACCTTTCAGAGGGCTGTTGATCAGCTGGAGGAACGGAAGTAACCACTTTCAAGTGCATGATGTTCGACAAAGCCAGAAGTGAAGTTCTGAAACTTGGACTGGGACTCAGTGCTATTCTTCAGGAAAGGACTAGAGTGCTTCTGAAGCAGGAATTAAATTAAATGAGTCAGCAGCATAACCTTGCAATAATAAATTATAATACTGAGCTGTATTAGCAAGAATCAGCCAAAGGTCAAGGAAGCAATTAGTCTATTCTGTGCTCATGAGGCTACATCAGAACACACTCTTCAGTTTGAACACCTCAGTTCGTGAGAGGGATGGATAAGCTGGAGAGAGGGCAGTGGAAGGCCACTATTCCGGCCAAGAACCTGGGGCACGATAGCAACACATTGTTTCAGAAGAGAAGATTAGGGGAAATTTAATTGCCATCTTAAATTGCATATTAGTAAGTTAGAGAGAAGACAGCAAAAGGACAGAAAGCAATGGTCACAAGATATGTCAAGGGAAATCCCAACTCTGGATAAGAAAAAATACTTTAGTGGGAGTAATTAGGCACTGGCACAGGTTGCCCCAAAAATATTATTGTTGCCATCCTTAGAAATTTTCGGAACTTGCCTAGACAAGGAAGCAATATAACTCTGAAGGTATCCCTGCCTTAAGAGTATGTCCAGAGGTTCCTTTAACTTGATTTACTCTATGAGTCTATGAGTCATTAATAAGAAAGGTAAAATCATATCTTTTTCCAGCTAAAAGAATGTTCTCAAAGGAGGAAGGGCCCTTCCACTATTTCTTTAGTGGTTTACCACTTAGAGACCTATTAAATATATTTATAAAATTGCTGAAACTATTAATTTTATTTAAGAATTTGCAGAATTGTACCATTTGCATTACATATTTTGCATTCATTTCAATGCAACATCCTGTGTATTTCCAATTTAAAACCACATGATATCAAGCCCCACAACTTTTAAGGGAATGCTATTTTTAAATTCTTACGCATTGTCTAGAATCGCTTTATGGAACATGATATTTTAAAACATATGCATATATTGCACATTTAAAACTGTATGTCCATCTCAAAGTCTATAAAGTTGAGAAAACATACACACACATGCACATTCAACACGTGAAGAAAAGCTTCCCTCAGACATAAATCCACATTTTGGTACAACTACACATAGGCCATAAAAAAAACCTTCTATAGCGTACATAATAGTTCTATGTCTACAGTAAGGCAGCCATATGAAGTGGAAAAACAGTCCATCCTTGCTCAGTAAGATACATTATGAACAGCTAAACAGATAAAATTAGCATTTCCTCTCTAAAGCAATTGCCTCAAGTTGTACACGGCTTATTTCAACTCCAAATCAGAGCCCATGCTTACTTAAAAAAAAAAAAAGCATTGTCAAAACAATCTGAAGAGAGAACAGAAGTTTTACTTTCTGAAATCATAGTACCCCAGTATTTATTATCTTTAAGACAGAAAATCTATCCATCATTTCACTTTGATGGAGTAAGATGTCAGAAAGTTACCTGTCCATATCAACATCTTCTTGTATATTTGTATGGTTAGTGAGTAAGAATACAGACATATCATCTCAACATTTTTTTCTCAAATATCTTTAAGTATTTAAATATCTTAAAAAGGTTCAAGAGCTTAATTTGATAAAGCTATCTAAGATGCAAAGGATCAGCCCAGGTTTCTTTCATACCAGTTTAACAGACTTTTGCTACACATGCAACTTCAGTACATTAAATACCAATTAGTTTTATCAAGATAAACACAGGATAAAGCTCATTGTGCTTTTTCTTGGTGTTCAGTTGACATAAATGAAGAGCCAACATACAGGCCTTCTAAATATTCACACATGGGTACAATTGGTGGATGGTGGTGTATCTATCCGACTTTTATTTTCCTTAGCATCATTCAGAGGTGACTTTTTACCCGTCTGGCATTTGAAGACTTGTTTGTAGGCCTTCCTAAAGTTTTCAGATAGAAATGCATATATAACTGGGTTCACAGAAGAATTGCTGTAAGCCAGGCAGTGTGCAATTACCCTGAAGAGAAAGGAGGCTTGAGTCAGTGGGAAAACTCCAAATTCAGCCCAGAGATGGATCACGTGATGCGGCAGCCAGGAGATGCCAAAAACCACTACCACCACCAACACAGTCTGTGCTGTCTGAGACAAGGAAAGGAAAACACAGATGTCTGATGAGCACTTGAAGAATCAGCTTTAAACCTACCTCAAAACCATCATTTGGTGGAAAAAAAAGTACACTGAGAGAGACCACACTGGAAAATTTATTACTGATTTTACCCCATTACCCCTATGGGCTTTATTTTTCATAGTGAACTACTGCAAAGGAGAACCTTAGCCTTGAAAATGCCATAGTACAATGCAAACACATAACTCTCCTCAAAGATAAAGAATGATGATCCCAACCCCTTACAGAAAAGCCTAGCTTTTTCTGAGGTGGATGTAAGCCTGATGTAAAATAATATTAACAGGGATCTTTGAGAAATCTCATCCAGATCTGATGATCTATATTTTAGTATAGTGCACAAGGACTTCTCATGAAAATTTCAAGAGAGATCTAGTATGCATGAAGGTAGCTCATGGAAGAGGTTAGAGCAGTCACTTTGCTCAAGTGCTTAGTAAAGATGAAAAGTCTCTCCTTTAAAGATAGAATTTCCACAGGGAGTGTCATACAACCACATTCTGGGATATAAGTAGAGGAAAAAAAAAGAGTAAGGAGCTTGAATTTTCTGGTGATTGCATGTTGTCAAAAGCAATCCGGAAATTAAAGCTCACCACCAAATACTGAATTAAAAAAACGGAACACAAAATATCCTCAGTGTTGCCTCCATATTCCACTTTCACTATTTATGAGACAAACAGCCATCAACATCATTAGATCCATTCTGACAGCTGCAGAATCAGTTAGTATGACCCTCCAGGTGTTGAAGGAGTTCTACCAGGGCACAGTGGAATTTGACTGTCAATGTTTTTTTTTTTAGCTTTCACTTACTTCAGAAACAACAATTTACTGCTTTGCAGTTGCCTAACTAATTAATATCTACTCCTCTAACAAGTATTCTTTCAACTCAATTAGCCTCCCAATTAAAAGCTGATAATAATTCAAAAGCATATTATGTTATGGGCCATTATGATGACTATATTAATGCTTTATAATATAATTTTTCAGAAAACTTAGACTCTTCTTCACAGCCAAAACTAACCCAGTGAACATAGAGTGATAAATATTGCAGTACAGAAAATATGTTGAGTTTTTGATAGTTTATTGAACTTGGTCTATACTTCTTGAACTGATTAATGCTCAGTAATAATTCAGACTGATCTACCTAATCAGAATATGAGTTGACTTAGAGAAACTTGTGGGGAAAAAATTTTGATTTCAGGTCAAAATAACTTATGACAGATACTGTTGCTGGTTAGTATAATCTCACAACAGAAACCAGAGGACATTATATCTGTAGTTAATATAATTTGTATAGTCTTAAGCAATCATCTTTTCAAAAGTGGTTCCTCTACTTAGCCCTGTGGATTTTAAGTCATTTGCCACTAAAATAGCCACAGAAATGTTTTCTTTTTCAGGTCTCATCAGTAGAATGTGTGTTAAGAAGGGTGTACAAATTAAGAGCAGTTCATTCTCTGATCACTGTGTTAGATGTGTTAATATTCTAAGTGAAAACAGATTTTCAGGATACCACATGTACTTCAAAAGAGGCATATTACTTCAGTTTGTTCAAAATTCTAAAAAAAAAAATTAACTAGGAAAATCACCACCTTTCAGTAGATTATAGATGCACCTGAAAGCAGAGGCTGACCATGTGTCCCTTTTAACTTTTACTGAAGTTATTTCACATCTGCAGAATAAGCAATTTTGCATTAGGAAATCTCACAACATTTGTTTTATCCCTTTGTTCCTCCTAAGCCTAACTTCAGAGCTTAACTTTTCAAAATCATCACTATGTCTTACAAACAAGGTATCACTAAAAAGCAGCTCTTGTTTACCTAATGGGGGCTTGCTTAGGGTTTCCCATTAGCAAATAAAACCTGCCTGATATATTGTTAATACTAATGCTTGGTGACCAAAATGCATGAAAAATATAATTTAGGCAAATTAATATTTTCATTAATTTTTTTCCACACAAACAGCAAATTTATTGTAAGGTTCTACTACCAAAATATTCCTAAAGGTTTCAGTAAAGCCACAAATGTATAATTACACCTGAAATGCATTCTTAACAAGACAGTAGAAGGAAATAAAAATAAAAAAGATAGAGAGAGCATTAGCACACTAATGAATGTGGTGTTTGAAAAATGTAAGTTAGGCCTTAGATTCAGAAACTTATTTTCTAAGGCAAAAGAAAAGTTTTGGTTTACTTTTTTTCCTCTTTTGATTACTGAATCCTGATTCATCCAAGCAATCTTGATCATGTCTGTAATGCTTTACCCTGAAGCTATGAATGCTACTTCCTAGCCAGATATGTAATTCTTAAGAGTTAGTGTTTAGCGGAATGCACAGATTTCCAGTTTGAGAATAATTTAGATGAGAAATGGCAATATATAGAATGTCTTTGAAAACTACACCATTGATCTTGACAACATTAAATGCAAAACCGTATATATTAAGTATTTTACAGAATCAGGGCCGTAAAGGTCCTAATTCTAGGAATCGAAATCTATTGACTAGGGTATTTTTCAGGAAAATAGAGAATGCATAAATAATAGCTTACTTATTCACTGTTGAGCCCATGTACATCTCATTTAAATTGCAGACAGTCTGCATGTCCATATGGAAATAGTGATCAGATCAAATGAAGAGCTACTGCCTAAGGGATTTTTCTGACTCCAGTGTCATAAACTGAGAAGTTAGTTGATGATTACTGTGGTCAAATCTGTATTATATTAACTGACAATTTCTTGGTATAAACACATCTTTCAAATATTGTTCTAAGTCACAAAGCTTATATTCTGCTTTAAAGACCTTTCATGATTCTACTGGTAACCAGTATGTAACTTGCATCTTGAATGTAGAACCAAAAAACACTGTGTGGAAAGTCAAAGAAGAATAGGAGAATCATTAAAAGTCTCTTATTAGAGACCCTAATTTTAAACATATAACAGAGGAATTCTTTAAAAAATATTAAAAAACCAGCTAATTAAAAAAAATCCCATTATTTAGTCAGGGGAAAATGCCTGTGAGAAAAAAAGACCAAAAACATTCAATTCTAAAGATAGGTTGTCTCTCCATGCCTAAATTTCAGATACTTTGAAGTTCAAAATATGGGCATCTCAGGTAATGGTTTGATGTAATGTGATGGAAAACTTGGATCGGAAAAGATTCCAATCCTGCTAAGTTCAGAGGGACACTGAATACTCCATGAAATACTTAATTTCAGTTTCTTCTTTCTGTTACATCTTTAGCAACAAGCAATAAAATACCAAATGTGTTTAGCCATAAAACTAAAATATAAACAAATAATTAATAGTAATGAATACAATATACCTTTTTCTTGGATGCTTCTGACTTCTTTGACATGTTTCTCAACTTCTTGTGTAGGTGGTTAAGAACCTGAAAAGATTAATTTGCATCTTGTATTGTATTTCACCGTTTCCTATTCAAATAAAATTCAAACCCACATATCTTAGAGTATGCTCTTCTGCACTGAATGATTCCCTTACAAGCATTGCTGATCCAATTTACACATTTCCAAAGTGCACAGTATAAAAACTGAAGGAAATACATATCTGCATCTGTATGAATCCACAAATATGAAACAGACCACAACTGAATTCTCATATAAAAATTCAGACATATTACATTAAAAATACATGTTATGAATTAACAAGGAAACCCATCATGCACCTAGAATTAGCAACCACTCTTCTTCCATTAAAAATCAATACCTGTTAATTTAGAATGACCTTTACTGAGTGTAACACAAGAAAAATATATTTTGAGTCAGAGTTTTTCTGAGTCACCTGAACAATTTCCTTCTTTCAGATGCATTTTTGATTAATATAATCAGGATGCTGGCACTACTTGATCTTCACAAGAAGCTTGGGCTTTCAAAAATAATTTATACCAAAATGAGGCTCAATATATGAGGTGTGACTTTTATCAACAGTTTGATGATACTCACCATGCATCTTTCACCAGTAATTTTAAAAAATATGTTACAAAAAGGCTCATCATCCAAGAGCAGGATCGAAATTTCAACACAGTACTTTACACATAAGATTTTGGATAGTGGATGCACAGAGGTACATGCCCTACTTTATCTGCCGTCATTATTACCTGAATCCAGTATATTCTCATGGCATGATTTGTAGGTATGGAGGGCAGGGAATATGCTCTTCAGCTGAATATGTTTAACATACTACAAACCATACAGAATAAAAAAGATAAATTCTTATTAAACTGGAAGATTTAATTAAAATATGGCAAGAGGTAATTTTTAGAGACAGCATCAAAGTGAAGGGCTCTGTTAGATGATGCTGCTAGGTTGCATTTTACATTGCTCTAAGATGAAATGAGAATGATATAAAAGGTAAGATCATCCAGATTTAGTAGGTAAAATAATCCAGCTTTAAAATAATTTTTTAAGGAATGTAACACTAAATTTAACGGTCCATAAGGACTTCTTAAGGTGGGAAAAAGGGTGCAAATTCAAGTTCTTTTATATCATCTGGGGACATTTTCTTTGTTTTCTTTGGGAAGCACACCTAACCACTACCAGGACAGACATCAGTCAAGGTTACCTAAAGATATGATCCCACTCTGGCATCTGAGTCTTAGAGACATATATACTGAACTAAAAGAAATAAATTGGTATTTGTGAATAACCATAGCTCATCAGCAGATTCCACTTTTTGTCTACTCTTAGTTACCAGTGAACCAAGAGCAACAATAAGACTAAAAATTAATTGTAACCACTTAATATTGTAAGTGCAGTCCGTTTGTGGTTATCTGTGCACTAACATGTGAAAGACTCATCCTGCAAGCACTTCCTATTCTGAAACACTATCCAGACTGCCACCGAGGCTAACCTGAGCTCAGGAAAAGCAGGGAAAAAATAAATCAGTTTTCCCTGAGAAGGTCCCCTTTTGGCTCTATTCCTACTTCTTCTTCAGGATGAAGCAGACCAGAAAATGACGGAGGAAACCCTGAAGTCCATCAGAAGATCAGGAAAATAACCATCTGGCTCACAGACTTTTTATTCACTTACCATCACCCTGTACAAAACAGCTGAATTGCTGGGTCCATCGGTGAAAAATGTAAAACTAAAAAAGGGCATGCAAGGAATAAAATTAAGTTCACTTCCCATCACTGCTGCTTCATCTATCGTACCTTCTTCACATAATTTACAAAGATGGGCTGTTTCACTAGACCCTCACAACCCGAGACTAAAATCAGATAAACCCGTCCCAGAAATCAGAACTGCAAAGTCTTTTTTTAAAGTTACAAGTATTTTTGTCTTCTGTGCTTAAACTTTTAGCACAAATTTTTGCATTGTATCTCTCTCCAATCCAAAGAAAGATGCAGTAGACAAAACTGTTAAATTGGATATTTGGTGGGGATGGGAGATGGTGGTGGAGAGTTTTGGTGCCAATTTAGATTATAACTTTTAAATGAATCCTTCTCAACTTCCCCTCTTTCAGATTATATATATATTTCATAAAATAAGCATCTACAGTGAAAACATGCTGGCTCTAGGTAGTAGTGTACCAGATGGTATGCAAACTAGCAGCAAGAGAAATATGCAAAATGCAATTACCTATCAACATCAGTGGAACAGCACTCAAAGACCAACACAGAATGCCATGGAGGGATAAAAAGAGCTGTGTTTATGCACAAACACTACAAGGCAAATGAAAAACACTCTCCTCACTGCCCATTTCAAATTATCTCTTCTCTGGGCCAATGAATACTAAATTATTCCTCTAAGAGCCACTGTCTTTACCTGAATGAACAATAATTCTACATGCGCCTCTTAATTTGTCTCAGGCTATTTCTCTTAAGAAAGTATTTCAAGATATCTACTAATACATTTGCATGTATTAGTGGGTACATTTGCACTAATAGATTTACATTCTGTTTTTAACCTATGGAATTAAATATCCAGCTTGCTAAAAAGCAGGTCCTAACCTGTTCTCATAAGGTGTAACAGTTTTTTAAAAAATTAAGCTCTGTAGAAAAGAAACATAAAACTTTTCTAACTCCAGCTTTCATGTCCCTGTTCTTAGTTGGCTCTGAGGGAAGGAACAGCTTTTTTGTCTTCCCATCTGCATGTATATAATAATTCCACTGACTACACCTTCATTATCAGCCATTGAAAATCATGCAGAAGGAAATCATGCAGAAGGAAAGCCAGGTCATTATCTAATAAGAATGAACTGCTTGTTTAACAGAGCCATAATGTAAGCATTACATTCTCAACCACCTCTGTAGTATGAACCTGATTTAAATTCAAGTGCCATTGCCTGCAAT